CAGGCTGTGGTCTTTGCAATTACTTGTTATTCATCAGAGAGCTGGACAATGACTAAAGATGATAGAAGAAGAATTGATATCTTCGAGTTGTGGTGCTGGAGAAGAGCCTTGAACATACCATGGACCTCCAAGAAAACAAATAGGTCTGTCTTGGAGAGGGTGAAACCAAGTTTCTCCTTGGAGGCTAGGATTTTGAAGCTCCGTCTTACTTACTTTGGGCTCATGGCTAGGAGAGACTGGTCCTTGGAGAAGGACATCATCCTTGGGGGGGTGGGTGGAGGGACAGTGCAGGAGAGAAAGACCCCAGTCGAGATGGGTTGATACACTAACTGGTGCAGTAGGAGTGGTGTGTTGGAATTAGTGAGACCAGCTCAGGACAGGGAAGGGTTCAGAGCTGCTGTACCTAGGGTCACTATGGGTCGTTGGTGAGTCGACAGCACATAACAGTAACAATAACAAAGACAGGGTGAATGGAAACAGGACACCCAAGGAGGAAATGGGAGGAGTGCTGCTGCAGGGTGGGAACTGAAACTAGTGTTACCAAACAGAAAGTGTATTATTAACTATTGAATAGGAAACTACCACCGGTAAACCGTCACCCAAAGTGCAGTTATGAGGAGAACTCGGCCAGTCACCAGCCAGGCTGGGTGGCCGCTCGCTGCAGGCACCTTTGATCTTTGATTGTTGGTCCAGTTCTCTTGGGGGATGATCACACAGGACTTGGTCACCTTACCTCCCAGAAGCAACCCCTGCCCCACAAAGCTCCTTTCCCCCAGACTCCGAGCTGACCCGCTCCGGCCACCGGACTGGCAGTGACGGAGGAGCCAGCCTCACCTCTCTGTTCCAGGAGAAGGGGCTGTGGGTGCCGGTGTTGGCCATTATGCTGGTCCAGTTCTGGGGCTGGGAGTTGCAGAGCACCATCCCGGCCGTGTGCGTGTATGAGTACGTGAAGATCCCGTTCATCTCCAGCAGGACGTACTCCGTGTGGATCTCCTCCTCGAACTTGTCGTTTCTCCACCTGGGACGTGTACGTGCAGAGCGTGGCTGCAGAGGCTGCTGGGGACTGTCCCTGGCTCCTCCCCAGGACTGAGCCCCACTGGGGATGCCCTCGGGGAGCTGACCCTCCGTGCCTGGGCCAGCGTGTGTGCTTTATACGAGTGGTCACCATGGCCTTGCTGATAGAAGCAGAGGGGAACTGATGGACTTTGGAGAAGCACATGATGCTGGGTTAGCGAGAAGGTCAGGGGGCAAAGGACGCCCCTAACGAGACAGGACAATGCAGCAGTGGGTGCACAGTGTGGAGATGGGGATGGTGCGGCCCGGCACAAGGGTCGCGATAGTCACCTAAGAGCAGCAGTGAGGCCAGGCCCCAGAGTAGCTCCTGGCCTGTAGTTATGGAAATGGATTATACAGGAAGGAAATCATTTACACAGAGCGAATGGCCTCCCTGGGCTGCAGGAGGGGCAGCCCCAGGCTCCGGACACACAACCATGGAACATTTCTGCACTAGCTGACAGTTGAGGGCAGGGGTGTATGCAGCACAGGCCTGTGGCTAGAACTGGGCCAAGGCATCTGTGGCCCCAGCCCTGTGGATCGCAGGGTGGGAACAGCAGTGGAGGGGGGGCTGTCCACTCGCTACCCACTGAGATAGGACCCGGAGGACCCGAGGGCACCAGCTACTTCTGAACTGCCAACCCGTGCCCATGAACTGTCAACCCATGCCCACTCTGCCCTCCTTCCAAGTCACCCATCACTTCCCCCCAAGCCTGGCCGAGGAGTTCAGGCCATCGCTTCATGTGCCTTCCTAAGCTGGCACCAGGCTGAACCAAAGTGCCAGACAGCCTTGGGGTGTTCCCAAAAGAGGGGACCTGGCTTCCGACCAAAGGAGACAGTTTACTGTGTCTTGAAAAAAAATTTACCCCAAGGAAAAAAAGTTAATTATCTACAGGAGAGCTCATGACCAACAATGACATCACAACCAAGCAAGGTCAGGAGCAGAGAGCTCGGGTCCTAATGAGGACGTTCACCCATTGGGGCAACCCCGGCCAGCGCCCCAGCCTGTACAAGCCGACTGCCCTCAAACAAGGGCAATCCCAGCTCCTAGAGGCCTGCCCCGTGTCCAGCCTGTGGCTCTCGGTGGAGCAGAGCGTCCCACTCTCTCCTGAGGAGCAGCTAGCAGCCCAGTGCATAATGCACTGAGCCACCAGAGCTCCTAGGACTAACCCACATAGACAGGCGTAAATGAGAACTAAGCTTTCACCAGAAACACAACAAATTATTAGTATTTAAAAATTAGGTGTGATTATCGCTCAGCTCAATGACGTTTTCTTTGTTTAACCATTTATTGTGATTTGGGTGGAAGGTTACAGAGCAAACTTGTTTTCTCTTCAGCAGCTCACACACGTTGTGATTCCCGGCCCGGATGGGAATTCCCACAGGGGAGCAGCACTTCTCCTGCTTCCTCCTTGTGCTTCCTGTTTCCGCTCCTGCCCTCACCCCTCCCTGCCTTCTGTGCTTTCTCCCTGCCCAGCCCAGTCCTTTTGACTTTGGGGTTACTGGTCACCTTAAAGGCCTATTATTTAACTGAAGGTCAAGCCCGGGGGGTGAGTTCAGTCCCTCTCCTGAGGGTCAGAGTCTTGGGGGTAATGAAATATTGTTTAAATATAAAGATAAAGACATGACACACAGGTTGAGGTGCCATGATGAGAAAGCAGAGAGGATGAGGGGAGCTGAGCTATGCCAGGGGAGGGGACAGGAAGAGCATTCTGGGGCGGGGTACAAGCTGAGAGAGGCTGGGTGCCAGGGTAGGGTCGGGCACAGACAGTAAATTGTCCTGAGGGCAATGGGGGGGACCCCCGATGAGGAGATCCAAGGTCCTGCCACAACCACACTGTGTCCCCCACACCATGTCTCCCTCAGCGTGTACAAAGTCTATTGTTTAAAATGGCTTTCCTTGCAATCTCGAAGGTGCACGGTTCAAACCCACCAGATTCTCTGCTGGACAAGGACACGCAATCTTCTCCTGTGCCAGTCAGATCCAATTCGACAGCACACAACAACGATGAAATATTAAAATGGCTTTCCTAAGCCACTGGCCTTTGTCACATGGGTGGGACGGAACATGGACATCAGGTGTATTAGCCTGTCCACAAGGGGAGTGGCTAGTTCCACCATTCCACCAGGTTTAAATGAAGTCTGCTGTCAGGGACCTCTCCAAAGTGTTAAAGAGCAATGGTGCCACTCTAGAGACTAAGATGTGCCTGATTCAGGCCATGGTCTTCGCAATTACTTGCTATGCATCAGAGAGCTGGACAAAGACTAAGGATGACAGAAGAAGAATTGATGCCTTTCAATTGTGGTGCTGGAGAAGAGTATTGAACATATCACGGACCACCAGGAGAACAAATAGGTCTGTCTTGGAGAGGGTGAAGCCAAGTTTCTCCTTGGAGGCTAGGATTTTGAAGCTCTCTCTCACATTCTTTCTGTACAATGGCCATGAGGGACCAGTCCTTGGAGAAGAGCATAATTCTTGGAAGGTTGGAGGGACAGCGCAGAAGAGAAAGGCCCCGTATGAGACGGATTGACATGGTAACTGGGGCAATGGAATTAGGTGTGTTAGAGTCAGTGAGACTGGCTCAGAACAGGGCAGGTTCAGAGTTATTAGACATAGGGTTATTATACATATGCTTGCTATGAGTCACAGGCTACTCGATGGCACATAACAACTACCAGCAAGAAATCAGCACAGAATACAGGATTAATCTTTTAGGGCCAGAGATTCCTGCACTGACTAGATCAGGGCTACAGGAGATTAGCAGCAGCCACAGCAGAGAACCAGAGACTGGATGTGAGGCAGAGCTGACCCAGGACTGCTGCCACGGAGCTAGGGCCGAGGCCTTTGCCCAAGTTTTCCGGACGATGAGGGGTGGGGGAAGATACCGTGACTGGCAGGACTAAAAGAGCTTTGTGACACTGGCCTAAACCCACAGCCTATGAGCTCACTTCACCTGTCCTGACAGAGGAACTGTATATCCTGTGGCCGGATGGACGATACAGTATCTGGGGCAATGGGGGTTGTTGTTGTTGTTGTTATGTGCTGTCGAGTCGCTTGCGACTCATAGCGACCCTATGTACAACAGCCCTAAACTCTGCTCTGTCCTGTGCCAATCACACTGCCTCTGACACACCCACCCCAATCACCCAGTCACTGAATCAATTCACCTCATAGAGGGTCTTCCTCTCCTGAGCTGTCCCTCCACCCTCCCAAACATGATGTCCTTCTCCAAGGACCTGTCCCTCCATACAACATGTCCAAAGTATGTCAGACGAAGCCCCAGAATCCTTGCCTTCAAGGAGCAGCCTGATTTAGCCCTCTCCAGGATGAATCTGTTTGTTTTCTTGGCAGTCCATGGTACATTCAATACTCTTCTCCAGCACCGCAGCTCAAAAGCATCAATTCTCCTTCTGTCCTTCATAGTCATTGTCCAACTCTCTGAGGCATAACAAGTGATTGCAAAGACCATGGCCTGTATCAGACACACCTTAGTCTCCAGAGTGGCCCCATTGTTCTTCAGTACCCTGGAGAGGTCCCTAACAGCAGAATGTCACAGTTGTTACTATGTATCATACTACCTATGATACTTAGTGCTGTGACATCTGAGTAGGTATTGCAATGAATTTTGGACTCAGCAGAACAGTGAGCTTGGTGTTGGAATTAGAAGAGGGTGTGGGATCATGGGGACATGTTCAACCTGACGGGAATCCGTTTTGAGTTGTGGATGCTGTTGATGGGGGTCAGTCCCCCCTTGTGGAATTGGTAGGGGTCAGATTCGGCCATCTTCATGCCATGTTCTCTCTTTTTCTACCCACATATGGCCCTACTTCACACACCTCACCCTACATCATGCCCCACCTCACATTTTGTCCCCACACCATGCCCTCCCATCTTATCTCACACACCTCATCCCTCCTGCTTCACCTCCCACCCCTCACCCCTACACCTCAGCCACTGCCCCCCGCTGGGTCTTACAGCTCGATCACAGGCTTCCACGGAGTGTAGCAGTAGACCAGGAGTGGACAGCCCAGCTGCTCGTACGGGTACAGCACCCTCTTGCTCTCGTGGGCCTTCTTACCTTGGAAGTTGGGGTCGTAGATATGCCTGTGGGAGTATGGGGAAAGAAGGCTGCGTGGGGGAGGGCGGCCTCTCCCGGTCTCCTCTCTGTGGGCCCATCACGTGATCAAAAGACCCCTGGGAGCTCGCAGGTCAAATGCTTGGTTGCTCAGTGAGAGATTGTGCGTTCAAACCCAACAGTCCCTCCACAGGACCAAGAGCTGGCCATCTGCTTTTGTAAAGATGGCAGCCTTGGGGACTCCGAGGCGGCTCCACACTGTCACACGGGGTTGCCAGGAGTCAGCTTACTTTCAATGGTACCCCCTGTTGTTGTTATGTGCCGTCGAGTCGCTTGCAACTCATAGTGACCCTATGTACAACAGCCCTAAACTCTGCTCTGTCCTGTGCCAATCGCACTGTCTCTGACACTCCCACCCCAATTATCCCAGTCACTGAATCAACACCCCTCATAGAGGGCCTTCCTCTCCTGCACTGTCCCTCCACCCTCCCAAGCATGATGTCCTTCTCTAAGGACCGGTCTCTCCTCACAACATGTCCAAAGTATGTTAGACAGAGCCTCAGAGTCCTTGCCTCCAAGGAGCCCCCCGGTTTAACCCTTTCCAGGACAAATCTGTTTGTTTTCCTAGCAGTCCATGGTATTCTCAATACTCTTCTCCAGCACCACAGCTCAAAGGCATCAATTCTCCTTCTATCCTCCTTGGTCATTGTCCAAGTCTCTGATGCATAACAAGTGATTGCAAAGACCATAGCCTGTATCAGATGCACCTTAGTCTCCAGAGAGACACCATTGCTCTTCAGTACTTTGGAGATGTACCTAACAGCAGACTTTCCCATGGCAATGTGCCTTTTAATTTCCTGGCTGCTGGTGCCAAGACTGTTGACTATGGAGCCAAGCAAACTAAAGCTGTGTACAATCTCAATCTCTTCACCATCCATCCTGATGCTGCCAATTGGTCCAGTGGTGAGACTCTTTGTCTTCTTGACATTGAGCCTCAATCCATATTGTAGGCTGCAGTCCTTGACCCTCTGCAGCAGGCGCTTCAGGTCCTCTTCAGTTTCAGCAAGCAGGGTTGTGTCATCCGCATAACCCCCTAGAACGTGAGTTAATCAGCTGGCCTTCCGTAAAGCTAACTGGCCCCCAACCTTCTCTTCCCACCTCCTCCAACACACACTGTGAGTGGGCCTTGTCTGATCAGTTGAAGGCCAAAGAACAAAAAGGATTGCCAAGGCTGTGTGCTCTGCTCCCAGATGAAAATTAGTATCTTGCCAGCCTTCATCCAGAGTCCCCATCATCTGGGCTCCAGATTCTGGGTGCGTTACTGCAGGAACCTCAAGCTTGCTTCCCAACCTACGGATCTGGGACTTCCCAGTCCCCTGCCCCACATGTGATCACCTTCCTCTGGAATGGACACAGCAGGGACTGCTTTGGGTTGGCCACAAAACTGTCTTCCAGATTCTAGGTGCAAACAAGTAAGCACTGATCTCAGCTTGTTCAAACCATATCATTCCAGGAAAAGGTGAATCAAACGGGATGCGGGATCATGAAGCAATGTCACCACTTGAGTAAAATTCTGCCCAAGATCATTTAAAAATGCCTGGGCGAACTGCCAGAAATCCATGCTGGACCCAGGAGAGGGCACAGGACGGTGCTAGGGGGATCTTGGCTGAAAGCAGAGACTACCAGAAGATATTGACTGATGTTTTATTCCATGGACAGGCAGGCACTCAACCACGTGGATCAAAAAGATTACAGAAAACATTGCAAAGAACAGGATTTCCAGAACAGTAACTGTGCTCACGCAGAACCAGGACACAGACCAGGAAGCATTCCCACCAGCAGGGCCAGGGGACACTGCTGGGTTTAAAGCCAAGAAAGGGGTGTGTCAGGGTGGATCCTTTCACAAAAGACAAATTGCACTGGGCAAATCTGTTGTCAGGGACCTCTCCAGAGGACTGAAAAGCAATGATGCCAGTCTAGAGACTAAGGTATGCCTGATCCAGGCCGTGGTCTTTGCAGTTATGTATTATGCATCAGCCAGCTGGACCATGCCTAAGAATGACAGAAGAAAAATTGATGCTTTTGAATTGCGGAGCTGGAGAAAAGTCTTGAACATACCATAAACCACTAAAAAAAAAAACAAATAAGTCTGCCCTGGAGAGGGTGAAACCAAGTTTCTCCTTGGAGGCTAGCATTTTGAAGCTGTCTCACATAGTTTGGGCATGTGCCCAAAAAAGACCAGCCCTTGGAGAAGGAAATCATGCGTGGAAGGGTGGAGGGACAGCTCAGGAGAGGAAACCCCACATGAGATGGACTGATACATTAATTGGGGCAATGGGACTGATATTTTAGAGTCACTGAGACTGGCTCAGGACAGGGAAGGGTTCAGAGCTGCTGTACCTCGGGTCGCTATGAGTCACATAACAACAACAACATCCTTTTACTATCTGTGTGCTGAGTATCTAATCAGAGAAGCTGGACTCTGTGAAGAAGAATGTGGCACCAGGATCGGAGGAAGACTCATCAGCATACTGCCTGTGGCACATGGATAACAGATGGATGACTAAAGTGAAGAGAATTTGAAGCATTTACTGAGGATCAAAGACTCCATAGCCTTCAATATGGATTTCACCTCAACTAAGCAGAAATCTCTCCACTATTGGACTCTTAAAACAATATCGTGATGAATGGGCCAAAGACTCAGGCCAGGATTTCATTTGACCTGGAGCCACAGACCTACACCCACGGAAGCAGCAGTCAGGAAATCAGGCAATGTACCATGCTGGGCACATCTGCCACCAAGGAACTCTGGAAGGTGTTAAAAAGCAAAGCTGTCACCTTGAGGATAACTCACTAAAGGCAAGCGGTTTAAACCCACCAGTGGCTCCAGGGGAGACGGACGGGCAATCTCCCGTGTGATTTACCGCCTCTGAAACCCCACTGGAGGGTCAGCTACGGATTGGTTCCTGCCTAACGGCAGCTGGGTTTGAGTGTGAGTTAAAGGACTGAGGTGTCTGAGTCATGGCATTGGCAAAATATATAGACTACACCATGAACCTGAGAACAAAGAAATCTGCCCTGGAAGGAGTGCGGCTGGGATGCCCCTTAGAAGGCGGGTGACTGGATGACGTCTTAGGTACGTGGGCACATTACCAGGAAGGACCAGTCCATGGAGAACATTACGTTCAATAAAGCAGAGGGTCAGCCAAGAAGAAGACCCTCAATGAGCTGATGGACACAGTGACTATGGGCTCGAGCTCCGCAGAGCTGGACGGATGGCGCAGGACTGGGCACTGTTATCAACAGCATCAAAAAACACCAACCGACCTTGAGCGCCAGGTCAATCTTTCCCTGTCTTGCCTCGTCCAATCACGATGACTCATGTGTTGCTGTATTGAGGGACGCGGTCACTCGTGGGGGACATGTTTCAGCACCGCTGCCAGGCTGAGGGAGACTAGGAATAAAGGCCTGGTGATCAACTTCTGAAAAGCAGTCCCTGAACACTCATGGATCAAAACAGGCTCTGTCCAAGGAGCTCGGGCGCACCAGCGGTCACAGGGTGGTCTCAGGGTGGACTGGGAAAGGCCTCACTCTGTTGGACGGAAGGTTGTGTTGGTCACTGAGTGCCATACACTCATATAACAACAGCGTAATGTTGTTATCTGCCCTCAAATCACCTGAGACTCATAGTCACCCTATGCCCAAAGCTCTGAACCCCACCCTGTCCTGAGCCAATCTCACTGTCACTAACACAACTGCCCCCATAACCCCAGTTACTGGGTCAATCCATCACATCTGGGGCCTTCCTTTCCTGCGTTGTCGCTCCACCCTTCCAAGCATGATGTCCTTCTCCAAGGATTGGACCCTCCTGGCAACATGCTCAAAGTATTTGAGACGGAGCTTCAAAATCTTTGCCTCCAAGAAGCAATGTGGTTTCACCCACTCCAAGACAGACTTGTTTATTCTCTTGGCACTCCATGGTGTGTTCGATACTCTTCTCTAGCATCACAACTCAAAGATATAAATTCCTTTTTCTGTCATCCTTAGTCATTGTCAAGCTCTCTGATGCCTAGCAAGTAATTGCAAAGACCATAACCTCGATCAGGTGCACCTTTGTATCTAGACTGGCACTTGCTTTTCAGCACTCTGGAGAGGTCCCTGACAGTAGAGTTTCCTAATACAATTCATCTTTTGATTTCCTGACTGCTGGTGCCAAGAGTGTTGCTTGTGGAACCAAGCAAGCTGTAAATGTTAACAACCTCCATCTCTTCTCCATCCATCATGGAGCTGCCAGTCAGCCCAGTGGGGAAAACCTTTGTCTTCTTGATGTTGAGCATCAATCCATATTGAAGACTACAGTTCCCACCCTTCTGTAGCAAATGCTGCAGGTCCTCTTCCATTTCGGCGAACAAGGTCTGTCACTTGCATAACGCAAGTAGTTGATGATTCTTCTTTCAATCTGGATGACGAGCCTCCTCACGGAGCCCAGACTCCTGAACGATCTCTTCAGCATACAGAATAAAAAGATATGGGGGAGCTCTGGTGGCTTAGTGGTAAGGAGCTGCAACTACAATCCCAGAGACGCACGGTTCGAATCCACCAGATGCTCTGCCGGGGAAGGAGGGACAATCTCCTCCTGTACCAGTCAGATCTGATTTGACAGTACACTCACACAAAAATA